CCATGTGTTTAATCTTTAGGGGACATTTTCATCTTTCCATTTTATATGTGAGAAAACTAGCATTCATAGAGAACTTTGCTCAAGAAAAAATAACTAGTGAGAAGCTTAGATTACTTTAGAAATCAGGTATATCTAATTTCAAAGTTTATTTTTACTTTCCATTCATAGAGAATTTACTTCAGCTTCTTATAAGTCACCATAGTAAGTCACTGAAGATACAAAGATTCAGATCTTTCCATTTAAGTGGAAAGGGATAACATGCACATAAAATGAAGATATCATATATTGATCAATTTGTAATTTTCTATTTTATTTCCTTAAACAATGATTTGTGTCCTCATAAGGTTCTCCAGCACATCACAGTGATATTTGCCAAATTTGACAGGCTAATACATAAGTCAGTTTAGCAGTTACCTGAGTTCATTTTCTAGCAAGTATCTTATGTGAAATTATAGATTTCAGGATATGAAGGAATCAAGGGCAAGAAAATGATTAACAAATACAGGAGACCATCAAGAACAGTAAATCTGAGATACTTTTCTATTAGTGTTCTTAATAAATGGCATTCTTAAGTTTTTAATTTAATGACTGAATTTTATTAGTTGTATTACACACTGACTAGAAATAGCTTATGGGCCCTTCTAAAGTAATTTGCAATCTAGCAAAATGTAAGTCATTATGAATCATATCCTCAAAACTAAACAAAAATTACTTTCTTCATGAGTATCCATGATGGTTAATTTTAATTGTCAACTTGGCCAGATTGTGAGACTCAGTTTTGTAGTCCAACATCAGACTAGATGTTACCATGATGGTGTTATTTACAAGTGATTAATAGTTAAATCACTTTAGAAATATCTAATTGACAAAGATTGTACATATTCAGGGTATATAATATGATAACTTGATATATGCATATATTATATGATAATTTTGCAAGCAAATTAATTAACACAGAGATTACCTTTGATTACTTTACTTAATGCCAGTAGGTCTCACCCAGTAAGATGAAAGCCTTAAAAGACTAGGAACACAACCAGAAAAACTATCCTACCTCCAGAATGACTTGGGAGTAAAGACTGTACCATCAGTTCTTCCCCAAATCTACAGACTGCCAACCTGCCCTGCAAATTTTAGACTTGCCAGCCTGTAGGGTTGTGTGAGTCAGGAACTTCTTCTCCATTTTCATCTATTTTATGCTTCTATGTCTCTGGAGAACCCTGACTAGTACAGAATTCATAGTTTCAAATGATATTTATGTATGCCCCTGATGATGGTATGTATCTAGGTTGTTTCTATGCTCTCAGCATGAGTACACAGTGCACACTCAATAAATGATGTATACCTAAATGCATGCATGAATGAATATGTGAATGTCTAAATCAAACAAACATAATAAACCATTACCAGTAGCTGGACGAATAGAAAATGCCACGCCTCTTATTGTGTTGACTGGGTGCCATCCAAATTGGGCAGAACGATTCTGACGATTATACAACTTAATTGTCCCTTGAAAACATGTTTTTACCAAGAAGCCTTGTGGTTTCAGTACTATCTCATTAGAGGATAGCTCAAGTTTTACTGGCTGGACAACAGCCATCACTAGGATGTGTCCACCGGGTATGTTGTTCACTGTAAAGGTGAATGATCTGTAACACAACAAAAGCATCCAAATTTAACTGATAATAGCTAATTATGAGCACAGAATTCAGTTACATATAAGATGCTTATGCTAAAGATTAAAATGTATAATTTATAGTGTGCAATATTCCAAAATGACTATGAAAGAGAATTAGATTACCTCTGAAAAATAAATCTACAAGTCTACAAATTGAAACACATACAGTTTCTATGCTTTAGGATCGATCAAATATAATATGCAATTATTTAGGTAAATAAATACACATTTTACAAATGATTATAGCACATAGAAATTCAAGAATAAATCTTACTTCCAAAATTTTCCAATGGTATGAGATTCAAATATCATTGAAACATAAGTACTAGCTGTAGGTGGAATCACATAGGAAAATTGTTTGGTTTTCTTAAGTTCTTCCAAATTAACATCTAACTGGATTAAAATATGCATAGGTAGCATATTAATAATATGCAGCATATGAGTATTTGTAGAGTTCACACAGATATTACCAAAGTTAAGGATAGAGGGTCCTGAAATAATGAAAAAGAAGTTATTAAGTCTAACATTAACAAATGTCTTCATTTATATTTTAGATTTTCAAACTGTATTCTAATCAATAAAGTTGTATAAAGTTAACAGAAAAATATTTATTATAATATCAGAAATGATTAGCTACATTTTAATCTAAATAACTATAATTTGATGTTTGTATATTATTGGCTAAACCTCAATATGAATATATTCTAATCATATAGAAAATCATAGGACAAAATAAACACAAGACAATTCATCTCAGAACACTAATTTGCAACACTCCAACAATCTCTATATTCCCATCATTATAATTATTTTATTTACTAACTCAAAATTTACAGAAGCTGGCAATTTTCCCATGACCCATTGCATAAGTTTTCTACTTTAAATGTCAAAGCTTTTGTATTATGACAATTTTTATCATTATAATTCTTTTTTTGTAGAACAGAGATTTGAACTCAGGGCTTCAGGCTTACTAGGCAGGCATTCTACCACTTGAACCAATCCACCAGCCCTGTTTTGTACTGGGTATTTCGACATAGGGTCTCAAGAACTATTTGCAGGTCTGGCCTTGAACTGCAATCCTCCTAATCATTGCCTCCCAAGTAGCTAGGATAAAAAGCATGAGCCAGTTGTGCCTGGCTATTCTTAATCTGTCCTTTGTTTTGTTTTATTTTGTTTTTTAAGATACAGTCTTGCTATATAGCCTAGATGGGCCTCAAACCCACAATCCTCCTTGTCTGCCTCTCAAGTGAAGGGATTATAGACATGAATCACCATGCCTGGCTCTTAACTTGCCCTTTGTAACAGTTTTAGTCATAACTGATACAGAGCAAATAGTATATTTGAAGTGTACAATTTCATTAGTGGTGACATATGTATAAACCTATGAAGCAATCACCACAATAAAGACTAAACACTCACCACTCCAAAACATCTTGTATCCCTTTATAATTTTTCTCACCCACCATTTTTCATATGATTATTTCCCACACAACTCACCTGCATTATGTCACTGTAGATTAGTTTTCATTTTCTAGAGTTTTATTTGAATTGGATTGTACAGTATGTAACATTTTCTATGTATTTTCACACAGTTAATTTCCTAGAGATTCACCCAAGTTTTTACATGTGTCAATAGTTCATCACTTTGAATTACTAAGTAGTAGTCCATCATATGCAAATATCACAATTATGTGTGTTTCTTTACCTGATGATTGATGCTTCGATTGTTTCCAGCTATTACCTATTTTAATTAAAGTTACTACAAACATTTGTTCACAAGTATTAGTTTGAACATACGATTTCATTTTGTTTGAATAAATATCTAGGGGTGGGATGGATGAGTTACATGGTTTGTGTATGAATAAATGTATAAGAATCAATTAAATTGTTTTTAAATGTTTATATAATTTCACATTCCCACTAGCAGTATAGAGTCTACAAGTTTCAATTCCTTGAAATCTTTGACAACAATTCAAATAGTCAGATGATTTTATTTAACTCTAGCCACCTAATAAATTTATAGCAGTATCTCATTTCTGTTTTATTTTGTGTTTCCCCTAAGAATTAATGACGTGCATTTTTCCGTGTGTTTGCCATTTGCATATTTTCTTTGATGAACCACCTATTCAAATCTGCACTTTTTAAAAATTTGGTCGCTATTTTCTTAAAATAGAGTCTTGAAAATTTTGTTATATAGTCCGTTTATGAGTTCTTTCCCAGATGTAAAATTTGTAACTTCTACTAGTCTACGGATTGTTTTCATTCTCCTGCCAGTATCTTTAGAAGAGTAACTATTTTTCCTATGTATCCTTTTCTGCATAAAACATATGACTTATGCTACATTTCTCCCAATTTTCCTAAGGTATAATTGACAAATAAAGATTGTAAATATTTACATGGTACAACATACTCTACTGATATGTGTCTATAATATGATATAATTAAATCAATCTAATCAACATATCATAATTATCAGAAACCTTTGAAAGGTAATAACATTGGACTAGCTAGGAATCTTAGGAATAAAAGGATGAACCTGTAGTGAGCTCCCTTAGGTTCTTTCTGTCTCCTATATATTTTGGTCTGAGCACTAGAATAGTTTCAAACCCATGTGCTCTACCAAAGAACTGGAAAAAAGGGCCAGAATCTTTTTGACTATACCTACCCTATTCGAGACCAAGCAAGAAGTTGTTGCCCTCAAAACTAGGTGATATGAAGATATAGTATAGAGCCCTGATAAGAATATGCACCATGCACTAAGGCCATGAAAGACCACTCCTTCTTCTCGTGAATAAGGCTAATTTAATGTGCAGTACCTCTCTTCTTCTGGATTCTAGGGTAGAGGCATACTGACCATCTCTAACTAAGAGAAGCAATGGTAACATCTCACCCCTCATCACTAGCCACTGAAGAATTGATGAGATAAAGACACAGCACAAAAATCTTCCCAACACTTTAAAAAATAGTGCAGAGGTGCTGCTTTCACTCTTTATTGGAATGGTGACCACAGAAATTGTGGGATATAAGTCCTGTTGTCTATTACAACTTGCTAAACTAAAGCAAATAAGCAGTTGACCTTACACCCTCTCAAACCCAGAGTGGAGAGAAGGATGGAGCTTAAAGAAGGAGATATTTTAAATGAAGTTATGGTCATACCCTGAGTTTTCCCCATGTGAAATCTACCAGAATCAACAAAGCAAATGCCTAGAATGTGAAGTAATGCCTGGGTTTCATATTGTCTTCTAGGTGGCATGCAAACAGGGAAAATCAAAATTGTGAAAGCTTCAAAAACTAAATTGACATTTTTACACCACCACACAAATATGGGCTAGAATGTGTGTTCTGTTGCTAAATAAATTAACTATGCACTAAAACAGAGGGCTTATCATGTCCATAGTCCAAATCAAAATTACTTATACCTAAAACCATGAAAATCTCAAAAAAGCAAGACTGAGATGACACAGACATTAGAATTGTATGAGAAGAGTTTTTAAGAAACTATTATAAAATGATGGAATAAGGAATTATAAACACACTTGAAACAAATGTAAAATGTATTTCAGAAAAAATATAGAATATATAAAGAACTAAATAGACATTTTAACACTGAAAAATATAATCAGTGAAATAGAGAACTAAAAGGTAAGCTCCATAACAGAATGAAATGGTAGAACTAAAAGTTAGTGAATTTAAAGAAACATCAATAAAATTTATCCAATCTGAACAACAGAAAGAAAACAGATGGGAAAAATGGGTCATAGAGACTTGTGGAATAAAAGCAAACAGTTGCAAATCTCTATCATTAAAGTTTCAGAATGAGAGGACAAAGAGTTGAGGGTAGAAACTGGAAGAAATAATGACTAAAACATGGCCAAATTTAGCAAAAGATGTAAACCTACAGAGTCAAGAAGCTCAATGAAATGCAAAAAAGAACCCTCCCCCAAAACCCATCTAGACTTTCAAAAACACAATGAAATAAAAGTATATATGCATATCAGACAAACTATTTTTCAGAACAAAGAAACTTATTCAGGGACAAAAGGGACACTACATAATAAAAAAGAGACCAAGAAGACATAACAGTACTAAATGTGTATGCACCAAACAGTAGACCTTCAAAATAATATGAGGAAAAAAAACCTGAAAGAACTAAAAGTAGAAGTAAGAAAACTGATGATTATAGGTTGAGACTTTAATCACTTTTGTTGGCAATTGATAGACTCACTACACAGAAAAACAGTAAGGATTAAGAATCATTAGTGTAACTGACTAATTGGTATCTAATGGCATTTAAAGAATACTTCATCTAATAACAGCAGAATATACCTTCTTTTCAAGACACATGGAATCATTAAGGAGGATGGCCAAAGAAAACTTCACAAATTTAAAAGAGTTGAATTATGAATGAATATATTCTCACCACAACAAAATTAGAAATCTTTAACAGAAAGAAAACTGAAAATCTCAGAATATAAGCAGCATACTTCTAAATAACCCATGAGTGAAAGAGAGACTTTTAAGGAAAATTAGATAACATATATAACTGAATGAAATTGAAAATATATCAAAATATGTGGGACGCAGCTAAAGGATTGCTTAGTGAAAAATTAATAGTGCTCAATAATTACATTAGAAAATAAGGACCTAAATGAATAATTTAAATTTCTACCTCAAGAAATTTTAAAAAGTAGAACAAAATAAACCAAAGCAAACAGAAATGAAAGAGAGAAGAGAAAAGAAATCAATATTAAAACCATAAAAACTACAGAGACTTTTAATGAAATCTGATGCTGGCTCTTTGAAGCTTTTTCTTTTTTTAGACAGGGTCTTCCTATGTTATGCAGGCAGGTCTGGAACTCAAGATCCTCCTACCTCAACCTCCTGAATGTTGGAATTACAGGTATATGCCATCATGCCTGGCTCTTTTTTTCTAATTCTGTGTGCTGGATTCTCCTAAAAGGAGAATAGTTTGATCCATAATAATTAATCATCCTCTGCCTACCTCTCTCTCATGGACACCTTAACTCCAGTTAGAGTGAAATGGGAACTTTCTCTTCAGCTTAATATAGGCACTGTATCTTTAATCATAATCATCATTTAGCAGGCTTGATGGAAACAGACCTAGGGAGAGAGATTCTGCAATACCTCTACAAGGTTAAGGAAAAGTGGTAACCTGTTTTCCTAAGTAACAGCCATCTCAAATGTCTTATGGCTTCATTTCAAACAGGTATCTGTCACTGCTCAACTACATTTCTTAGTGACTTTGAACACTCTGATACAAAATAGACTTCATGAATAACCTCATTTTTCTCTATCCATTTATCCTGCTTTATGTTTCTTCATACTTTCTATGCAAAGGTCATATTATATAAGACAGGTTTATTTTCCTGCACCTACTCCACCCAATTAATCTCTAGGAGACAAGTGACTCAGTTTCTTTTATTCACTGCTATATCCTCAAGATCCAGAACTTTGTCTAGTATATGGTTGTCATTTACTTAACACTTATAAAAAGACTAAATGGATAAAGAAATGAAAGTTACACATTAAGCATCTTCTAATATAACCTACTCATTGTATGAAGTTTTCACAAAAAACTTTCTAAACACTATCTGTCAGACAGTTAAGCACCTTGCCTATATTATCCCACTCAGTTTTCACAATCACACTATAAAATGGGTAAGATTATCATTACTCATTTACAAATGAATAAACTGAGATTCACAGATAAACTTTAATGTTGGAGCTAAGAAGTTGCAGAATCAAGCTGAGTTTGGCCTCATTATAGAACTTTCCTTCTCTATTACACATAATGTGTTCCTGAAACACACATAATTACAGAGAGAACTGAGCTAATGATCCATGTCTTAATCTTCTACATTTAACATCTACACTATACATGAACACATAGAATATAAAATTTTAACACAGTTTAAGGCCATGTATGGTGGCATATGCCTGTAATCTCAGCACTTAGGAAGCTAAGGCAGGAGGATCACAAGTTTGAGATTAGCCTGGCTACATAGCAAGACCCTGTCTCACAAAATAAATAAACAGTTTAGATGTTATAATAGTATAATCTTGTAAAACAAAGGTACAATCAATATAAGTTCTAATAAAGATTCAGTTAAAATATACAATATTTATTTACATGAATACAAAATACCTATATTTTAAAAGACCACTGTATGATGGGAATTCTAAAACAGATGATTGAGAAGCACAGTGAATCTTTAAACACAATAAAGCAACAAATTTTCAAAACAACTATGTAAAGACTGGAAATTTGCCAAAAACACATAACAAACATTTATCATGTATTATATGATTCCATTTATATGAAATGTTCACAACAAGCAAATCTATGTAGATATAGATTTATATATAATATATTATATATAATCTTTATATCTATATATGCATATATATGCTTAGGGCTGGGGGTAGAAATAGAAGTGACTGCATACAAGCATAATGGTGATTGTAGCATTCTAAAATTGAATTGTTATGGTGGCTGCATAACTGTAAATTTACTGAAATTCATTGACATATACTTTTTAAACTGATGAATTTTATGGAATATAAATTACCTTTAATAAACATGCTTATTTATTAAGCATATTTATATCTACTACAAAGACTGTAGTATATTTTGTATATTCTTACCAACAATTACTTGATGAATTTGCTTTGGTGTCAAAATTAAGCTGCAATCATATTTTTCATGGGCAGTCGATGGTTCCAACTTAAGTCCTTTGATAACCTTAGGAAAATCACATTTTCTAAAATTAATCACTCAGTATTAGCAAGAGCCATTTTCTCATCACATAACAAAATGTAGAACATATGAATAAAATAAAATAAATTAAAAAAACACAAAGCAGAAAATAAAGGGTAAAAAATGTAAAATATTGCACATGCCTTTCTTTGCAAGGACTCAGTCTCCTTGGATGCCATTTTTTTGGTACTTAACAATTCATTAGATTTGATTGGACACTCTGTTGAGTCTGTGGGTAGCACCAATTCTATTTCCGCTCCTGAGAGCACAGGTGATCTTAGACCTGACCCTGGCCATATGCCTATGTCCCAGTCATTACAGGCATGCATGTGTTCCCTATCAAAATAATAATAGCAATAATAAGTAATAAGTAATTGAGGCCAAGTTGTTTAAAAAATAAAACTATATATGCAAATATTTCCCATATTTCCCACTGTTGGGACTCACTCATATGTACTTAACCAGACAGGTACACTAGTCTAACAGGAAGGTTTCCTCCACTGAGGGAATTACCTTCTCTAACATCTCATAGAGGAACATCCACCCCTACTCTGTCATACTCAGGGACAGCCCATAACCAATGACTGGTAAAGTTCACAAAATACAAGCCTCTTTGGCTCATGGCAGAGACAACTATGTTGTATAATATATGTTCTTACTATATACAAATATCAACACATCAACACAAAATTTATCGAGGACCTAAATGTAACACCTAAAACTATAAAACTACTAGAAAAAAATCTAGAAAAACCACTTTAAGTCACTGGCATAGGCAATGGTTTTTTGATGAGACTCTAAGGCACAGGCAACACAAATAAAAATAGACAAATGGGACTGTACCAAAGTAGGAAGATTTTGCATACCAAAAGAAACAATCAAGATTGAAGAAACAACATACATAATGGGAAAATTTGCAAGTATTCATCTGACAAAGTATTTATCCCGAATACATAAAGAACTCAAAGAGTTCAAATATGTAGACAAATGGTACAAATAGATACTTCTCAAAGGAAGAAATTTAAAAGCTAAAAAATTTATTTTTAAACCTCTCAATGCCATTAGCAATCAGGGAAATGAAAAGCAAAACCACAATTAGATATCCTCTCACTTTAGTTAGAATGGCTATTATAAAAAAGACAAAAAGTTTAAAATAACACTTGCAGGAATGTGGGAAAAAATTCTCAAATACAATGTTGGTTGTAATATAAATTAGTACAGCCATCATGGAGAACAGTGTAGAGATTCCTCAAAAAACCTAAAAGTAGATCTACCATATGGCCCAGCTTATTCCACTTCTGGGTGTATATCCAAAGGAAATGAAATCAGCATACCAAAGAGATAGCTACATGCTCATGTTTATGTACCAGTATTCACAATATTCAAGATATGGAATCATTCAAGGTGCCTGTCAATAGATGAATGGATAAAGAGAATGTTGTACATACACACAAGGAATATTCAAATGAAAATATCTTCTCATTTGTCGCAAAATGGATAGAACTGAAGAACATTATGTTAAGACAAATAAGCTGGACAAGAAAGACAAATATCATATGTTCTCTCACATATGTGCATGCTAAAAATTGATCTGAATGTAGAATAGTTATTGTTAGAGGTTTGGAAGGTTATAGGGGGAGGGGTAACAGGGAGCATTGGATATGGGTAGAAAACATAGCTGGAAGTAATAAGGTCTAAAGTTCTTCAGCACAGTGGAGTGACTATAGTTCACAATAACTTGTTATATATTTCATGAAGAACTAGAAGAGAGGAACTTGAGTCTCTAAACATCAAGTAATAAAAAAAGAAGGAAATATTAACAATCTTCTTCTAATTAGTGTACATTTATACATGTTCTTAAACCTCCCACTGTACTTCTTAAATGTTTTCAAATATCACATTGATCAAAAGTTTTAAAAATATTTGTAGATATGGAAATGCTAACTACTCTGATTTCATCATTACATATTGAACACATGTATCAAATTATTAAACTGTACCCCATAAATTTGTATAATTGAAGCAATAATTGATTTTCAAAAGAAAAAAATTCTGGTTCTATGGGCACCGGGATTTGCTCCATGTTGTTTTGAGGAACTGAACTTTACCTCTCTGCTTGTTTCTTCAGGCGCACACCTCTTAAATATCTAATATACTTCATATAATATTCTTCATGTATTTTCTTTTCTAGTTTTTCAGTTTCAGTATACTCAAAATCAGGATCTGTATAATCGTGTCTTGGAGTCTTTGTGAAAATCGTCCTACGATATGAGTAAATCATTTAAAATGTATACATATATATTAACTCAGCCAGTATGTACAGTCTGCCTAATGTTGAATAGGACAGATTCTAGGCCTTTCCCTCATATCCTATGCTAGACTCTTTTAATTTTATTTTGTGTGGGTGTGTGTGGTGGCACTGGGGTTTGAACTCAGGGCCTCACACTTGCTAGGCAGGCACTCTATCACTTGAGCCATTCCACCAGCCCCCTCATATCCTATTTTATATGAAGACACTGCATGTAAAAATGAATGAAACCTAATTTTTATCTGTAATCTAATCAGAGAAAAATCTCTTCTTCCTAAGGTCACTGGGATCTAAGAGTGCTTACTATATAAGTCCATCCTTAGAGAGTTAGTCAACTTAGGTAACTTGGAGAGTTCTACAAAACAGATCGAACTTCAAAAAATTAGACTTGAATCAGCTAGTTTTTCCTATAAGTATATTGCTTTTAGATCAATAAAATCTTAGAGCTTATGAAATAACTATCAATAATAAATCTATACAAAGGAAACAATCCAAAAAAAGAACTGCAAATTACATCTCATATTCATTCAACTGGCTTCATACTCTTCCTTGTTTAACCACCACATATTTTTAATAAAAATAAAAAGTGCAATATGGTTGGTGTGTTTTTTACACCTGTATAAATATGGAACATTGAAACCTGCCAAAGACATTTTAAGGAGGAGGGGGAAAAGGAAGAATACTTGTGAGGATGAACCAAAGCAGGGTACTCTGTACACATATGTGGAAATGTCCCAATGAAACTCCCTGTACAACTATTATTATAAAAACGTTTTTATAAAGTGCAGTTATTCTACTTTCTAGCCTTGGTCCACACCTCAATCCTCAGCAAATTTTGTCAGTCATTAAGAGTCTCACCCACAATAATTAACTCATGTATGAACTATAAATGAAAATTATTCAAAAATCAATCAAATTTTCTCTATTTTCCACAATTCCTCAATGTTTATATGAAGACATCTTGAACTGAGTTAGTCTTTAACAGAGTGACACAAAAAATGGAAACTGTATAGCTACTTAAAGATAGTTGTAGATATTTAAATTTCCCTACAAGCCCTAAACTCTGTGGTACTGGCAATTGAACTCAGGGTCACAAACTTGCTACCCAAGTGCTCTGTCACTTGAGCCACCCCCCGCCCCAGACCTTTTGTTTTTAGTTTGCTTTTCAGATATGGTCTTGTGGTATCTTTATCCAGGTTGTCTTCAAACCACTGTTGTCCTTTCTCTGCCTCCAGAGTAGCTGGGATTATTTTCATTAACCACCACACCCAGCTAGCTCTAAGACTTAACCATCCATAGAACTTAGAGATAATTTCTATATCTGAAGTCCTAGGGTCTGTAAGAAGAAAAGGAGGAACATGGAAAGCAGTAATGGAGAAAATAACATAAGTGACAAGGCATTATTAACATATCAAAATCCTTTTCAGATCCTAAAAGAACAAATATCTAGAAATTCTCTGTAGCTTGGAGTCAGTGATTTTTAAAAAATATTCAATATACAGGGAACAAAAATTTACTATGTAAATAAAACACATCTCTCATTTATTTATTCAAGCTAATTTACTGAATGTTAAATTCCTGATGATGTTCTACATATAGGACATACTGTTATAAACAAAAATTACCACTTATTGTCCTGTCAAACATGGAAAAAGTAGATGCATTAAAAATAAAATAGCAATTGCAATTACCAACAAGCAAATACACTACAATAAAATTTAATTCATTATTTAAATTACTAATTGGTAGCCAGACTAAAGTTTTCTATTAATGTGAAAAAGTTTATCGAGAAAAATAAATATGGCTGTAGAATAAGTAGGAACTGCTGAGCTTAATTTTTTTAAGTCTTGCAATTTTAGATGCTCTAAGTTATACAGTTAGAAAGAAAGTAGTAATATTAAATTAATATATTCTATGTCCATATAGACATATTTATGTAAGCTTAAGAAAGAGTTTAAAGACTATCTAAATGTTTGTAGAAGACACTACAGCAGAGTATAGGAGGGGATCAATGAGCCAGAAGGAAACATACACTTTCCTTTTTATAATATGTAATTATTTATAGTAGAGTCTGAGTTATTTTTACTTTTCTGTTGTTTTATCGTACTTGTCAAATAAAAAAAGAGGCAAATGTGGACAGGATTTGTAAAATAAAAATAGTAAGACAGTCTATAGAACACCCTAGAATTTCCCAGTGTAGATAATAAAAACGTGGCCTAAAATCAAATGGCAATTCAAGAACATTGTTGCAAAATTAAGGGAGCTTAACAACCACTCCTAAGGGAAAGAGACAAGTAGAAAAAGCTCTGGGTCATTATTAACTTTAGATAGTTTACTAATAGCATGCAGGTAGGCAAAAAAACCATATTTTAATCTCAAATGCATAAAATATATTTCTGGGCTCAGGGCCCATAAAAACAGGTCAAGATACATTGTTCACTTCTAACTAAGCATTGGTAAGATAGTGATTTCTTTGAGGTTTGGATAAATTTAAATTGAGGCTTAAACACCTGTTATTGTCCTAACTAGGGAAATTTTAGTTCAGTGTGGATGTTTTTGAAAATACATCATTGAGATGATAAAACCAAGATGATGGTAATAACAATAATTTGTTTTCCACAATTTAAAAATTTTTTATTGAAGTAAATTCAAGTGCTCAAACATACCGAATAAACATCACTATACAGAAGACTTCTTACATTTCCAAAGGTGATTATTTTTTTAATTTTTTATTCATTTATTCACATGTGCATACATTGTTTGGGCCATTTCTCCCCCCGCCGCCTTCCAGGCAGAACCTGTTCTGCCCTTATCTCTAATTTTGTCGAAGAGAAGACATAAGCATAATAAGAAAGACAAAGTGCTTTTGCTAGTTGAGATAAGGATAGCTATACAGAGAAAATCCTAGCATTGCTTCCATGCACAAGTGTATTACAACCCAAATTGATTAATCTCTATCTGACCTCTTCACTACTTCCCAGTCACCTTCCCATATTGACGTCTGTCGTTTTAAGGTTACTGTATTAGCTCCTCTGTAGTGGGGACATCAAACACTTTCATATTTTGGGTTTCCTACCTATCCCCATTCCTCCCGTATGTGCTCTTCCCTTAGCATGTGACCCAAGTCCAACAACACTGCTACATTTACCCTAGATCTAAAGTCCGCATATGAGTGGTGATTATTTTTTATCATTTTTCTACACATGTCAACAGTATTTTTAAAAATTATTTTGTATGCCATTCACTTCCTGGAAAGTACACAGTACTGGTGATGAGAGATTAGATGAAGCAAATTTCAGTGGCATTCAACAACCAATACACTTCCATGTTGAGAGAGAGACAGGAAAAGAGAGAGTGAGATCTCATTATTACTATTACTACCATCATCAGTTTTTTACATCAGGATCTTGTCAGACCTCTGCATATCATGTTGGACATTATGTCTTTTAAATTTTCAGCTTTTAATACTGTGTTACCTGAAATTTTTATGATGTTCCCCAGACCTGATACTTGCAGATCTGTCATTGGGAAAGGCTATCAGGGCATCCTTCATTGACTTTTCATTTAAGCGGTGATTGTGAAGGCACGTCGTGGCTGACTGAAGCACTGCAACAGGTGCACGGTCCTTGTTTTTTTCCAAGTCTTTAACTACAAACTGTCCCGTGGGATTACTGACCAAAGGGGTTATACCTTTTGTAAAATTGAATATTAGGTTTATATATGGTACTTTGAATTTCAACTTTCAAAAAATAGATGTAAATTAATTAATATATTAGATAATTGGTATTGAATGCTAAATTCCCAAACACATTCAGAAAATAATAATAATGCATGATCCTACACAAAACAATTAAGCAAAATGATACCTAAACAAATTATAAAATGCATGTATAAAAATAAATGTGCTAACTTGAAGGATTTAGATTATTCACACAAAACTGAAATTTTTATAGGCTAAAAGCAGTTGTATATCATCAGTTTAACATGGTTCAATGCATAAAATATTATAGAAGATTGAATGAAACAGCAGCAACAAGAAAATCTGGGGTTAGTCAAAACTACTTTATATTATAGACACAAGAAAAAAATGCACAAAGAATAAAACACAACAACCATTAAAATACCTGAGAAGCTGTACAGGTGACTAAACCAAAAGTATGTTCCTCAGTACAGCAATACATATATGGTAGAAATGCAAATCTTTAGGCTTCAATACAGATCTACTTAATAACCAATGCTGGGATGCAGGCCAGTGATATGTACTTAAACAGGCCTTCTAGATGACTTTGATGTATGTGAAAAGGTAAAAACCACTGGATTAGACCCTATTTGATATATACAGTAAGCAATAAATATATCAAAATAATTCTACATTAATAACAACTACTACATTGAAACCAAATAAGATTCATACAAATACCATACCAGGATTAATTTTCATCACAACTTTCTTAGTGAAAGCTTTGCAGGTGCTGTTAAAATCTAAATGTATGCGATAAAAAGGTTTCATCGACGAAGACTGTAAATCTTCATCTGCCACTGGGCCAATAATCTCTATTACTTGCTGCACTCTAAAGACCCCAATTTGATGTGGAATAAATGAGCATACGACATTCTAAAATTAAAAAAAAGAATGGTGATATGAAAGTACTTTAGGACTATCCAGCTTTGACAAACTTTAAGATACTCATACTGGAATTTAAGAAAAATTAAGAATATAGTATTACATTTTGGGAATGGCAGATTAAGGCCCTCCAAAAATGTACTTCTCCACAAAAGGAAAGAAGACACTAACAGAAACTTGTCAAAATCCACTTTTTTCAGGTATTTGGAAATTACCTAAAGGCTAACAAAACCCAAGGGGTATTTTTTTAAGTTGCTGAATCTCTAAAAGAATAGACAGCTCTCTGCCATTTTTACTTGCTATAATCCCATCCTCCGAACACCAGTTGTGTGGCCTCCTAGAAAAATCTACAGCATCTTAACTATGGAGTTTTGAAAAACATTAGCTGAGAAGCAATGAAGGGGTAGAACAGGTTTGAAGAACTCAAAAAGTCTCATTTCCAGAGAATTTTACCTATTTGTTTTCTTTGATAGCTGGCTAAAAAAGCCTATTATTAGGACATGTCTTTATTTAATGTGATTCAGAGTTAACTCTGTATGAACAACCCTCTCCCCAAGTTAAAAAGACTAGAAAAGTATCTCTAGTTTCAAACTTCAAAATTCTACTCAACCTTCAAGGTCTTGCTTATGTTATTTATTGTCCTATGAAGACCTCTCTACCTGGCTGGAAGTAAATAAATACACTCTGTTCTCTAACTTTCTATGTCACTATGTTATAACTCTTTGAACATAATCTATATTCTTCTTAAATTATACCTATTTGTGTATATCTTAGAAGGATGACTATGTTTTGTACTTCCCTAGAATGTGAGAGGCTTTTTCTGGCACATGATAAGTACTTTAACAAATAATTATGGATTCTGTACGACTACACATATGTATTCATACTAATGCTACAAATAAGAAACAAGATGTGCTTTATAAACACTGGTAGAACAAATGTGGGTATTTTTTGTGGGGTCATATGGGGTTTGAACTCAGGTCTTATGCTTTGCTGAGGC